TTTTTTAAATACACTTTTGCAAGATTTTAAAAAATCTTTTTTTCTGTGGCTGTATGTTTTGGTTTTGGGTTTATATGTGTTCCTCTTACAAATGGATGGACAACTTGTGACAGGTTTAGAACTTAAAATTAATTTAAGTATTTAATAATATTATTGCTTGCAGGGCCTTAGAATTAGCATACATAAATAGTAACATGAAGCTTTTCCCCCTCTGTTTAATAAGAATGAAGCACAGTCTGAAAGGAAATCCAGTCAATCCTAAACTTTCATAATAAGGTTTGACTCAGACAGATTGAATAAGAGCAACTATGTTTTAGGTCCAAGAGCCGAGCCACTAATTTTTCCAAAATTACTAAAATACCTTTTTTTTTTCTCCCACACTTTATGTTAGGTATTGCACAGTATGTTCAAGAAGCTTTTCTCAGTGAAAAAGGAAAGAAAATAAAAGGAAGTATTAATATTATAAATAATAAAATCTATTATTTAGTTTTTGACATGTATCTTTTGGTCCTACCATACTATTCAGCAGCTTACACATATGATAAGTAGACAGAGACACCTTTTTGCCTGAGAGAGAGAAGTTCTATCACAACCATAATTTTGGTGAATTTTTGCTTTTGCATACTGGAGTATGCATACATCGCTGGAGTGCTAGAACTTGGAATGTTGGAATCAAACAGTGAAAGCCCAGCATTTAGCTTCTAGTAAAAAAACCTTAAACTACAGGTACATTTATTGTTGACATGACATTTAGCTTTTGTAGATAAGGAGTACAGCAGAGTATGTTAAGAAAATAAGCAACATGAAAATATGTTTTAAGTATATATATTTTAAAATGTGTGGTTCTAGAACATCACAACTCTTTCCCAACTTTAAGATATTTTTGCGTGATTGCAAAAAGTGAAACATGGTGTCAGAATACTCTATTCTTGAAAACATGGGCTTTTTTATGATTCTTGACTTCCAGTCAGTAGAAGTGCTTGCTTCTGGAAATAAGTAATTGTTTGAAGTCCTTGATTTTGGTCACACAAGAAAAAGTGGAGAGGAAGAACGCTGGATCTTGAAATTGTCTCTGTGACAATACATGTTTTATTGACCTAAAAAGCAGCCAGTCTGGTTTTAAAGCATTTTTTTTTTGGTCTTCTCCATGTCTATTTTGTAATCTTCAAAGAAACATGCAAATCAAGTTGTGGATTGTTTTGTGCTCTGAGGAATGAAAAATAGGGAAGTTCTCCTGTTTCCTCTTGAGTGTCTGAGATTTGCAGAGACGAAAAGCATCAGCACAGCTACCTCTGTAATAGGAGGAGGGTTTACATTTCTTTTGGATTATATTTGATTATAATTGAGTTTGAAATTGTGTCTTTTGTTTGATAGCAAGGAAACTTAGTTGCAAACTTTAAAAAAATATCAGGAGAACCCACTCTTTCCAAGACTTAAGTTGTAGCAAGTCCTGTTAAGAAATAGCGCTAGTGTTGCACACATCAGGGGTCAGATATGTTGTACTCTTTGCATAGCCTGCAGGCCTGTTCTGTCAGCTTCAGTTAAAGGTCGTGCATTCCTTCCTAAATTTGGCTTCCCTTGGAAATGGGCTAAGGGAAGAAGGCCTCCTTGTCATCTGCCTTATTCGTAGAGAGTGTATGTGTCCCCTGACCATCCAGTTTAAGTTGTATCTCAATGGATGCTTGATATATACCTCTCTCTTAGAATTTCTGAAGCTTGCTATACATTTCATTTTATTATTTTAAACTGTTAGTATTTTAACTTTGAATTGTATTAAAGAGATGCACAATTATTTCTGTGTAATCCCATAACTATGAAATGCAGGCATTGAAATTTCATGTTTGTGCACCATCAAATTACCTCTCAGGTGTTTGCTAACCACTGATTTCAGTAATAACCATAAAAGAACAAAATAGACATTCACTGAAGGATAAAAGAGTTATGTAGAACAACAGTTATCAGATCTCTTAATTCTTTTTTCTTAGGCAAGGCAGTCAGCCCTTGGGGCATTTAGTTGAATTATTTGCTGACTGCTGGGTGCAAGTGGAACCTGTTATTCCAGCAAGGTGGAGAAAGAAACAAAAACAAATTTCCAGTTTTAATACAGGAAACTTGCCACCACCCCACCCCCCCACCCCCGCTCATAGCTCAATTAAAAAACAAACCAAAACCTATTAAGAGGGCCCATAGGTCTCTTGTTTTGGATCTTTTTTCTCCTCTGCCCAGATAAAATCCTTGGCATAGAAGCCCTTGTTACATTGAAAACTACCCAATTTTTCAAAGAAAACATTGTTTCTGAAAGTGTGGCAATACCTACCACTGTATTATACAGCTAGAATAAGAGATTTATGTGTTCATGTTATGTGATGATGTTTAAAAAAAGGATGCAAATTCATCAAGTGCTTAAATGTGTAGTAAGAATTCCTCAGTAAGACTGAGAAAAATACAGATTTAATTCATGCATTCTGTTTTATATGCAAATCAATATATAATTTTCAATTGCCTATTTTGTGCTAAAAGATTCTTGACTTAAGTTGTACGGTGAAGGGGTAACTTGAGGACAAATGTAAATACATACCAAGCTACTTTGTCAGGTCTTAATATGTTGGCTCACTGCCAAGCTCTTTCAAAATACCAGGACCTTCACATATGGACCTCAATAGATATATCAGTTAATTGTTTTGTCTCAAAGATTTTCTAACAAGACTTCTTCCATACAGTTTTTATAGTTAAAAAAAAATCACTTTTTGTAATAAACTCGGACAAATTGATGTCTGAAGAAAAGAAGATGTTTAGATTTTGACTTTGATACGCACTCTACTTGAAGATATGCTCAATTCTCTGCATGTTTGATGGTCCTTCGTACGTAAAACTTGCTTTGGGTTGCCTGTCTTGCAGCAGAATTATGCTTCATAATGCATTTTTTTAGTCAGTTGCATATACAATTGAGAATCTGTCTAAGTTGGTTCAGTGAAGCCACAAGTTTATTATATTGTTGTTTCAGCAGTAGTGCGGAGTTAAAGGATTCCTGTCCACTGCTTTGTGTTCCTATTTGTGTGGAAATACTTTTTTTGATTTTCAGTTAGTTCAATAATCTTGTTTAGAGTGCAGTCTTGTAAATAGCTGTCATCACAGATACAGGGTGAAAGAGGTAGAGATGATGAGGCGATGTGAGGGGCTGCTATTGTGGAAGAGGTACGGGAGATGCATAAGCAGGCATTGAGGCAAGCTCCTTTATGCTGAAAACTGTCCTGTGTGTATAGGTCTTCTGTCAATATTCTACTTCTTGTGGGTCCCTGTCAGAGTAAGGGCCTATTTTGTTACTCTTTCACATAAGGCTGTGTCAACTGAATCAAGATACTGTGGTATATAGTGGAAAAGGTACAAATTAAGTTTGGATTCACTGGCATAGATGCTGCACTTTAAGTCTTGGGGGGCATTGCCGTTTCTTTTTCTTCAGAGAATGCTTATATAGTCATCTTTTAATGACTAGAACCTGGAAAGGTAAATTGCATTTTTACAAATAGATTAAGAATCACTACTTTCATTGCAAATCAAAATTCTAATGAAACACCTGAATAGTTTTATAACTTCACTTTCTCAGAATGAAAGTATTTCTATGCGTATGTTTGAAAGTCTGCATCTAAATTGTGTGTACAAGTAGACTGTACAGTAGAAAGTGAACAGAAGAGATAGATTTCAAGCTATTAAGTAAGCTTGTTTACAGGTTTTGTGAGCAAAAATGCTGAGAAATAAACCCGGTCGTTAAACTGAATTGGGTCATGGTAGTTTAGGGAACTAGGAATCTCTAGTGAGCTACTATCCTCTGTTTCAGGATGCAAACAGTTTAATTTTGCAATGTGAAAACATAGGCTTCATTTCCAAGATTACTGTCAAATAAACTGTGAGAAATTTTCCCTGCTACTATGCTGCTGTAAACAAGATCTGAGGGGCTTGAAGTTCCATAATACATTTCCCTTTTATTTATCACTTCTGATGCTTTATACTCCTGCCTCTTTGTGTTCTTAGTTAAAGATTGGTATTGATCAGTGCAACTGGACAGCTGAGAGCATAGAATTTACTTTATGGTAAAAAGTTCACTTTAAATTAAATGTTGACCTATAAAACCCAGTGATTAATGGCTTGAAATGAAAAAGTGATCAGTAAGAATACTGATACAGACATATGGCAGTGGTCTTGGTGTACAAGTAATAAAGATGTACTTGGTTATTTTCTTTTTAGTTAATTTGATTAATATTCAGATTCTAGAATTTAAAATTTGCCCATGATTTTTATTTGAAATTGTTAATAAATTAATTGCTAATTGTTAATTGTATAAAATTATTAATTGTTAATAAAATTAAAATTCAAAATCAAATTAAAACATTTTACTCAAGTCCTTTTTATCTGTGTGTGTGAATGTTTACTTTAAAAAATGTCAAAACTGTTAGTTTCAGGATAAAAAGTAATCTGGATATTCGCTTCTCACAAAAAGACAAAAGAAATAATATGTATTTTCCAAACTGATTATGATAAAGACCAGGAGCAATTATTCAGAAGATACCTGCCACTAGAAATTGTAAGAAAATGTTTGTGCTGTGTTTTGACAATGTCCCTGCAAATGGAAAGCTACAGCGTAGCTGCAATATTTATAAATTTATGCAGTAGTTTCTGAAAACCTGTAATTGTCTTTTTTATTAGAAGATATTGGTCATTATGTGAGCACATCTTTGAGGATAATCTGATTGTTGGTGATATGCAACTAATGTAGTAATTATATTAATATTTATGCAACTAATACTATTAGTTATTACTATTAGTTGCGTTACTATTATGCAACTAATATAGTGATATAGCCCTTTAATTTCAGACCAGTTATGTGCAGAAAATTGTGCATAAATTTAAGTGATATTCAGGAAAGATACTAGTTCGGTAATCACTGCTGATTAGCGTCTAAATAGATTAATTTTTGTTTGTGTTTTTATTTTTACTGTAGTATGCCAGTGTTGAGCAAGATGGTGAACATTACATGACCCCAGAAGATTTTGTGCAAAAATACCTAGGACTTCATACAGATCCTCGTTACAATCGTAAAACAGTGCAGCTGTTGGCTGGAGTGGCAGATCAAACTAAGGATGGGTGAGAATTTTGCTTTCCATTATAAGCTTGTAATGCACTGGTAAATGTGAGAGTGAAAGAGTTTGATAATTTCATCTTCTAAAATAGATTATAGATTTTATTACACTTTAAGTTAATTTAGGTAGTAAGTTTTTTTGTCAAGTACAATAGACTATAAATTTGAGGAAATTGGGAAAAAATACAGTGTTTAATGTGCATTTTTTAAATTGGAATTTGTTTGAATGGAGTTTTAACAATCCCTACAAATGCAGAGGAAGTTGAACTCCAAATAAGTCTAATGTAGTATGATTGCCTTGAAAAAGTTCTTTTCTGTTTACTCATGTCCATGATTAGATACTATGTAGAATCTTTAGTAGCTGTAATTAAGCATGAAAACATGGAAAAGCTTTCTTATTTCTGTAGTGTGCCATTTAAATGAAACCACTGAGGTCTTTATTTTTAAAGCACTGGCTATTAGGAAAGAGAGACACTAATGACTCTATGAAGGAAGAAGGCATATGTCTAATCAAATAAATATATATATAAATATATATATGCCATATAAAGTTTTCCCAACTCTGCTTGCAGATGATATTGCTTGCTTGTAGACAGCTCTCTGAAAATACTTTACAGAATGTCTGCTCCTCTGAGGTAGCACCCTCTTGATTCACTTGTCTTCCAAAGAGCCTTTTCTCTCGCTCTATGTAGGCTTCTACTTTTGGCTTCAGACTGTAGTAGAAAAGTAGGCATTGTTGAGGTGAGGTTAGGATGGATGAGGGAACAGGTGAAGAATAGAGAAGGGAGTGGTTATTTTGTAGAGGGGAGAGAGAAAGCTGATGTTAAAACAGTATACCTTTGTAAATACATAAGTGCAATTTGTTTTAAATAGCCCCTCAACAGCCATGGATTTGTGAGCCTAAATCTGACCTTTGGCATCACTTAAATGTTTTTTGTTTACCTGTATTCTGCTTTAGAATATTCTAGTAGTTGGCATAGTATACTGAGAAGCCTGTGCTTTACAAATTAAATTGTATATGCTGCATACATTTTACACTTAATGACAAATGTAGGATCTCCTGTTTTATGTAATGTTACATGATTTTTTTTAATAAAACTGCAGCATTTTCATAGTACATTTCATATATACGACCTCGTCTTTCTTTGCAGTACATGGCTACAGTTTGTTGTATTGTTACAGATTGAAAAGGCTATTTTATATATATCTATTGAAATAATAGTCTAATTGATTACTAGTAAACCAGTATGTTTATGTTGAAATATGTTGTTTGTCTTTTATGGTGTACATTTCTTCAGACAATGTCTTTTACAGTAAGAAATCAATGATTTGTTTTATTGCAACAGAAATTTACATTGAGGCATCACTGTTTCATTGCTTTCCCTGTGGATATAAGTTTGTTTGTTTTTGTTTTTTTCTTATATTTAAATCTGGGTAATATTTGAAGTGAGATAATCAAACACTGGTAAGTGTGCTTTATCTAATTCTTAGTTGGAACAGTGGGAATGGGAATTATTAACATATGGTCTGCAGTGCAAAATGTTTGTCTGTTTGAATACTTGCCTGAAACTTATTTTCCTAAATGTTTTATCCTGTATTTATCTCTAACCTGTATTTCATGTGAAGAATTTGTTATACCCCCATCATCATCATTGATTTATTTATTTGCTTTTACATTTGCATTCTTCCTTTTGTAGTGAGTTGTGATATATCAAAATCCAGACTCTAATTATGTCATCTGCACAGAGTTTAATCTGTAGCATAAATTATTATTGTAATCTTCAACTGAATTCCATAATGCATTATGTCTTTCCAAGGACTTAAAGTTACTTTACTAAGTCCAAGGAAGTACCAGTACTCCTATTTCATACATACATTTGTAAATTAAATGACAGCCCAACATCACACAGCAAGTCATTGAGGAGCCATGGGTTCTGTTACAAAATTTCATTCCTGTGTCTGCTATCATATTCTCTTAGCCTTGCTTGCCCTTCAGATAAATACTCAAAGTGTTCCTGGTAACTTTTCTTTGTTATTTTTTTTTTTTTTTATTTCATTTACATTTAAGTTTGGTACTTTAGAAAACAAACTATTTTGGAGCTGTCTGTCTGTAGGCATATGTTTAAAAAATGTTTTTTCTCTCTTACTTTTTTTTTTCTGGTGGTAACTTGGTCCTTACATAACTGTTCCAGAGTACTATTGCCTTCTCCTATTACAACAGTACAAGACTGGTTTACCTTAGTGGAACTCTGTAAGGTAGTTCTTAAAACAGATGACTCTTCACCTTGAAGTGTTTGTTCCTCATTGTTACAAAAGCATGTTCTGAAGAATTAATGTGATAAGCTCTAAACTAGAATTTGACCTAAACTGCTTTGTCTGATGTCTGGCTGCAACAGGGTTTCACTGATGCTGTAAGCATTCCCATGTCTTCAGACTGCAGGCACTAGTTTTGAAATTAAGATAAATATCCTCTCCGAATTATGTACTTGCGTATGTGTGCCAAACCCAGCTTTCCAATTACATAAGTTAATTTACATTAGTAGGTATTGCAGTTCTAAAATCAAAGATTTTCTTCTTTCAAGCCTTCAAAATTTCACAGTAGTCATTCAAAATTTTTTATTTTAATTGGTTGTTTCTGGGTACTTTTCTTTTTTAATTTTTAATTTTATTTTTATCAGCATATTGTTCTTAACATTTGGAAATTAGGTCTTAAGCTAAGTCCTGAAGAAAGAGTTGATGTTTCACATACTGAAGAATCACAACAGAGCTAATACTTAATGTCTGAAAGTTTTTGTGGGGAAAAAAGAGCACGGAGTTGTAGTAGGAAAAAAAAGATATAGAGGAATTGTAAACACATGGCTTGCTTTGTGTGCTTTTGAAAGGTAACAGTACAGAAGAAGTAAGAGAAAAGGAAATTTTAAAAAATGTTACAGATAAAATGCAAGGTGAGTGATTTGATATTGTTATGGACTCTGTAATGCAGCGGGTTCACTGAATGATACTTGAGTAGCAATTGGGTGGGAAGTTCTATCATTCTGTTTAATCTAGCTCCTGTTATCTCCGTCTTAATGGATAATGGAGGATCACAGGGGATATCCCTGCTCTTAGGCATTGCAAGCTGAATACATGGAAAGGAAATTGAATGTGTCTTGTCTCCTTTTGCTGTAGGCACTGTTAAAGTGAGTCCTCTGAAGACGGCTTCTTTCAGGTTCAGGCTTCTACGAATGCATTCTGCAGAGATCGTCACTTGATTCTGTCAGTTATAAAGCTTCCTGCTTAGGAATTAATTTGTATGTCAGGTTTTCGCTTGTATGTGAGGTATATTTTGAAATGATAGTATTTCCAATTATTTTAAAAGGATATTCTGTTTCTTTGATGCTAAACCCTTATTTATCATGATCATCCTTTGGATGAAATTGACTTTACATCTGAAGAACTATTCTTACTTCTCTGTTTTTTTTTGTGGCTAAAGTGTGAAAAATTAGTATCATAATTCTGTATCTGCCATATCTTAATTCCTTTGAAAATCACTACATTTTTTTCCTGTATTTTCTGCATAATGCTTATATGCAAGAATGTTGACATATGTAACCTCATTTAGAGTATCTCAATTCTGCTTTATGTGTAATCTGACAGGGAAACACTAGGTAAACTAATGGATAGTGTGGTTTGATTTTTCATTTTCCTCGCTTCCCCTCCTCCCCTGTAGGTGACAGAATTTGTACTTTGCTCTTTAGCAGTAAGCAGTGTATGTATGAAGTAGTCACTATGAGCTAATGATCTTCTATGAAGAGTACTAAATTCAGATCAATTAGGTACATTATCTAGGAAAATATACAATATACAATGATACTCTATGTTTTAAGAATATCTAATGAAATAGTAATTTCTTTGTTTAGTTTATAAAATGCAATTATAATTTCCATTCCCATTGATAATTTATTTGATACTGAAATAGATATCCCATCATTTATTTCTGTAAACTGAGCTAAGGGAGTTGTAACTGGATGGAATATTTGAAGTCATCAAGCTAAGTTCCCTATTTTTACAAGGGTGAAAACACACATTGGTTCCAATAAACCAAGTTTGGTGTTAAAACCTCAGGCTTTTGCTTTCAGTATTCTGGACAGGACACAGTATATGCCTGCTCTGAATATCTTTATGGATATGTAAAGTTGTTAATGTGTCAACATTATCCTTTATCTTCTACTGGCTTAGGGCTTATCTTTCTTCCGCCATTCTTACATACATCATTAGGATCCCTTCTAACTTCCTTGCGGTTTATGGAGGACTGGGGATTCTTTAAAATGTTTTTTTTCTATTTAGTCAGAATGAGTTCCTCTAGAAAAGTTAGTTATGATTATCCTAATAAGTTACCTGTACATACATTCAAGTCCGAGTTTTTATGTGTTAGAACACAAAGCAGCATTCCAGAGACATTGCGGGAACCTTAGCTGGGGAGGCTGCTGCTTCCTTACCTGGCACAGAAACAGCTTTCCTAGTGCATCCTGAGTTGCATTGTTCTGTATGGTGACTGCCGTGCATACACAGCTCAGAATCTTGAGATCTGCTGTTACACTCAAATCCTTCCCTGCCTTGGTCATGTCTAACTGTCCCTATGTCCAAATGTTTTTATAATTTCTTTCTTTCTTGGCCTCACCTACATGGCATCGTGGTTCATGTTATATTTGAAGTGTTATATTTTTTCTATATTCATAGTAAAGTATAACTTATTCTGAACCTGGTTTTTATTTGTTATATGTTGTTTTAAGAAAACACATATATTGTGTAGTATATTCCTATACTTAAACTATGTTTTCTTTCTTAGCAGAAATAGATATATAAATTAAGATAATGACAGCCCAGTAATCTTCATGGTGGGGTTTTTACATCTTAATTTTTAAGTGCTGTCTGCTTACATTTGTAATTGCAAGGTAACATATTGTAGCTATTTACTCAGAATTGCTTATATTTTGTAAAGTCTTAACATTTTTATGTTAGAATTTTATTTTAATAATTGGATCATATAGTTTTCTAGAGCATCAGACGCATTGTATTCACATGGTGTTGTGAATAATTTTTTAAAATCTTTTTAACTTCTGTATTTTCCTTCATAGGTTGATTTCCTTTCAAGAATTTTTGGCATTTGAATCTGTTTTGTGTACTCCAGATGCAATATTCATTGTTGCTTTTCAGTTGTTTGACAAGACTGGCAATGGAGAAATAACATTTGGTAAGAATATAAAGAAAAACATTTTAAGAAAGTGATAATAGTAGTATAAATCTTAATAGTGGTTCATGACCACAGAAATGGTACATAGAAATGCGTATTGTGCTGTACTGTACTGGTTGGCCAAGAGTGTTCAAGAGTAAAACTGTTTTTTTCTTTCAAGTGAAACAAGCCTAAGAAAAACGCAGAAACAAAGTCTGTTTTGCTCTGTCTTCCTGAATCAAGATTTTTCATGTTTCTGAAGTAGTTATAACAATGCTGTTTTGTTCAGTGTCGTTCTAAGTAAATTTGTAGACTTTGAGCTCCTTCAGTACTGAGGGATTTTAAAAATATGTACTGGATCTCCATTCTTCTTTGAAGAATTATCATTGGATGCAATACAAGCCCTATATAGGAATGAAGGAGGTTTAACCTTTAGAATCTCTAATTTAGTATTCCTTTTCTTGAGGAGTAAATCTTTAATGTTATGAGTGTTAACTTCCAACTAGATCATGTATTTGAAGAATTAGGAAGAAAATATGGCCTTTAAGTTTTGTTACCTTTTTCCTCTTTCCTTAATCACATAAATTAGTAATTGGACAAAATTCTTTAAGCTAACTGTACTGCTCTGTGATGTTGCTAAATAACTATTACTAAAATTGCAGTCCTTTGAGGACTAGGTTTTATTTTTAAAACTTCATATATTTATGAAAATTAGAAAAGCCAATGCTACAAATTTTAATAAAGTGGAATGAGAATTACATGTTATTTCTATCCAAAAGAATAAAGTTCTCAATAGAGAAAACACAAACTGTGCTTGGATTTGTAACCACTTGCCGTTTGTACTATTTCATTCTTATGAAAATTGTTGCAACTTGTTGGGAATAAAAAAAAATAAAGGAAGCAAGGGTCTTTTTATAGAACCAAATTGCTTGACTTCTGATGTTTGTTAAATTACATCATTAACTGAAGGATCAAATACTGAGCAATTTGAATACACCTCATCTTGAAAAGAAACTCAGAACTTAAATAAAGTTGAAGTCAGTAAATGCAGTCATTAGGAAGTAGACAAACTATTACAATCATTATGACCACATTAATGATGGTATATTTAATAGTGTCACAAAACGATGATATACACTTTGTAGCTCTCATGGAAGGACTTGAAATAGCTGGTTCTGTAAATGAACAAAAAGTAATTTCAGATTGTGTTGTGATTCCTCAATCAGACTGAGGATTGTTATTTTTTACGAGCACATCATTATATTAAAGGCTAAAAGTACAACACAAACAAGAGAAATTGTAAACCAGAAAATTCCATAATGTTTCCAATATCTTCATCACTGATTTTTGTTTTTTTTTAATAAGGCTGATAAGTCTTGAGTAGGAAACTCCGAGAGAAACTTCACTATTGGTTTCCTGAGTTTACAAGATTATATTGCAATTATTTTATTTACTAGTATGTTATAATATATCAGTGGTACTTACTTTTGTGCTACAGTTCTCATGTTTAGTGCTGCTTTTTTGTTATTGTTTGTATCATGGCCTACTTATTTTTACGTCATAGGCATATCATACAAATTAATGCATGTGGGAAAAATGTGAATGCTAATATATAGCCTGTTCAGAATTTGGTAACTCTGCAATGAATTGCTAATTTGGTCTTGTCGCCTACAGAGGCTGTTTTGTGAGTCCTGCACTCTTTCATTTTCATACCACATCAACAGAGAAGCACAGAGTTTAGTTTCATGTAAAAACGAGAATATATAAAACTAGGTCTTAAAAGTTTTAATAAATGATTAGAAATACACTGAAATCAGTTTAGCCAATTGGTATAAGAATTTCTGTCAGACAAGTCATCTCTCTTTTATGAATATGCAATGTATCCAGTCTGCAGATAAACTATGTTGGTTATGAGAGCAAACATGAGTCAAGATGTTCTAGCTCAGATACAATGCTATGTGAATGTGACTGCATTGGTTCCAAAGCTAACTCAAGCCAGTAAGTCTTGGCAGAAGTGACATGGTTTTACTGAGGTTTTTCTGCATTGTGCATCTGGAGCAGGGGCGGGGAAGTGCTGGAGAATGGAACACAGAATCAGCTTGGGTCTGTTAGGCCAGTAACTTGAACCCAACACTGGCCTTGCTGGATGTGAGATAATGTCTCAAAATCATTTGGGTGTGACTGTGTGGCATTTTTGAAAGATATCCTGGTCTACTAAGATTTTCAGTTATCCAGTGAAAGTTAAGTGTATTTGTTGATTTTTAGAACTGTCTCTGTTTTTGAAAGCAAGATGCTCAGTTGGATTCACATCTCCTTTTTAGGATTTATTTACTGACATGGACTCAGACCATACTTGAGCAGTTTATGTTCTTGCAGTCCTCTTGAACCTCAGACTGCCATTTGTCTCTTCAAAAGTTTAGCTTCTAACTCTCCAATGAGTACTAAATTGTATTATAAAGAACTTCTGAGTTGAAAAATGGAAGAAGACAAAAAGTTTATGGTTCTTTAAAAAATATTTAGTAGAAATACTTGTCAGCTATGCTATGCTAATCAGTGTCTGTGCCATATAATATGTTAATTGGAATTGTTGAAACAGGAAGCCTTCTGTCACTTTAACATCACCTACTTTCTCACTGCTTTGGGACATTTTTCCGGGAGTTTTGGACATCCCAAAATCCTGTATGAATGACTACCATAAATGTGCAGACAGTATGCTGTGATATTCATGCAGTAGATCCATTGCAAAAACATGAAATTGGAACTACTTTGTATGAGTAAACTGTACAGCATGCTCAGCACTCATGTTTCAGCTGCACTAGACTTGATATCAGCTTGGTGAATAAAAAGTAATAAAATGACTATTTTAATAACCCACTGATAAAAGTGACAGTGTAGTTTAAATGACTGTTAAGTCATGGAGAAATAGGAAAAAATTATTTGTTTTCCTGATCAAATGCTTGTACTACTTCATAAATTATTCCTAGGTGAATATTTTATGGGAAATATATTGCTGATGAGCCCTTACAATATTCTTTAACCATAAAATACTTAAACGCTAAAGCTGATAAAGAAAAGTGGTGTTTTTTTTGTTGTTTGTTTGTTTGATTTATTTGTTTGTTTCATTTTTCATGAATTGTCTTTATTGCTGGGTTGCTGTCTGTAGCCAGAGAAGACTGACAACCAGTTTTCTTTTTTGATCATTGGATGTAACTGACTAAATTACCTAGCATGAATGAGATATTTAAAAACCATTGATAAAATTAGTGCTATGGTACTAAGAAGACTCCTTTTTGTTGCTATTGTTGTAGGTCTTTTGACTTGAAGTCAGGTTAAAGCAAACGCAAATATTAAATGCGCTCAAGCTATTTCATGTGCTTCAATGTGGAAGCAGGTAGTCCTTATTGTGGTTGAAGGTGAAGTGTGTGTGACTGTCACTGAAACTTCTCTCAAAAACAGGGTGTCTAACTGGAAGTAAAAGGATTCTTTGTAATTTATCCCTTTGGCAAGCCATGCAGTGATCTGGACTGTATCACTTTTAATTGGAATGTACAATTTCAAGGCTTTTTCCAGCTGTTCGTCTTTGTAGAGTCACCAGAAAGAAAGCCATTCTCTGATAAACTGGGGAATTTAAGAGACACTTTTTTAGTTAAATACCCATGCTGGTATGGTTAGAAAGATAAAGCTAAAATAATGAGGCTTAGAAACCAATTTTACTGCCTTCATGTTCAGGAGTCTTCTGTATTCAGGTTTTTTATATAATTTTAGACATAATGGGAAAATATTTATGAAACTGAACATAAGGTTTTTAAAAACATCCTGCAGCTCAAAATCTCATTAAAAATATTTTGCAGAGCATTATGATCTCTTCTTTAAATGTACTGGGGGGAGTAAGGGAATTGAATGCCTGATAATGCAACTAATGTGAAAATTACTATGATATTGGTGAACTGAAATAATAAACATCAGTGTAATAATTTCAGAAATTGAGAATACAGCAGTACTGAAATCTTGTCCATCTATTTTCTTCAACAAATTTTAATCTAGGAGAAAAAGTTCAGATTTCCCTTAATCAGGACATAGAGTTTGAGAACACTAGAAGAAGGTGAGTGAGAACAAGAGAAAGGAGTTGAACATATGTTGTTACAGTTCTTTGCTGTTGAGTATTATTTTTCAGGAAACACAGATCACTCCTAATACTCACTTCCACCATTTCTGAAAGAGCAATTGGATTGAAAATGCTAGGATTTTTATTTAATCTTAAGAGGTCTGTTTTATAAAATATTATTTGCAACTGTAAATGCTGGAAACCTTTTAACATGTAAGCAGAAAAACCCTCATAACCATATGGCTATAGACCTGAGGATATAAGAAAAACACCATGTTTTGATCAAGTGTGCTGTAAACGAGAACTGCTAGTTGTATGTATATGTAGCTATATGTAAAATTTGCTGTTAGCAGAAATAAGGAAAAATAGCAACATAGGATATATTGAAATGCATTATGTGTGTTAAGACTGAAATATGTACAAATGGGAGTGTAAATGACTGAGTAGACAGATTTAAAAAAACAACTCACAAATTATTAAACAACAAACCGTTAGCATACTTAGGCTACTACTTGAAACTATCACATTTATATTTCTGTGTCTCTAAGAAGCATGCCTGATGTTCCATCATTGATGAGAGGGAATGGTGAACTCTGTTAACAGGTTGGTGGCACTGAATTGCTTGAGGTTTTCACTCTGCTTCTTGGGGAGCTGATTAGTCAAAACAAGTAATAGCCACCTCAAGGTTCTCTTGGGCTGTCAAGCTCATCCCCACCATGGTCCCTCAGCAAGACATCACGGTGTTCATAACATCTTCTTCTGCCTTCTTTGAAATTATTTCCTAAAAATTTTGTTCTCGTATCGTTTTTCTGAGCCTGATAGGTAACAGTGTTTGGAAGTTGAGCCAGTGATGGGTATGCTGCCTGCAGATAGCTGCTCCAGGCGTCTATAATTTGTTTAAAATGACTGGGTGGGGAAATTCTGAAGTAATCTTGAGAGAATGTGTGTCGCCTTGGAGGTAGTGTTCTAGTGCACTAGAGTAGTAGGTTTATTGTTCCTGGGGCTGATGGTAAGCTGAGTATATCATCAGGCTACTGACTTGTATGCCTATCTGAGAAGAAAATGCATTGCTATAAGCCTGGAAAGAAAGTTATCAGCTCAGTGGGAAAGAATTCCACTGCAGAAAGGTGAGCAAAGAGTAGGAAAAGACATTAGTAAATGAGCAACATGTATTGACAGGGACAATGAATGCATTCTGTAGAATGTCAGACTAAAATGAAAGGCTTTAAAAATAATTTGCTGTTTGCCTCCTGCAGAATAGCTCTGTTGGAAATTCGAAGTACTTTGTAGTTTATCTTAATTTGGAAGCATTACTGGGTTTTGACTGAGGGAGATAAAAAAAAGGCAAAAAATCCCCAGCATCTGTATCTGAATGTTACCTGTTTTCTTTGTTGTCAGTGCTTTGCTTCTGCTGTGAGAAAAATAAATTAAAAATATTTGATCATAATTCTGAGTGGTGGAAGTGCAGGTGATAACCACATTATGTATAATTTCTGAGATGTGACTGTCAGTTTGCTGCTTCTCATCACATGAGCTGTTGTGGAGATGGCTATTTCCTTTACTATAAGAGAATAGCCAACAAAATTGGATTAAAAAGGTATTCTTGAAGGTATTCTTGTGAAGAAAGCATTGCTGCTCTTGGGTAGAAGTAATAAATTTTAGAGTTTATCTAGCAATGTTTTAGGATCCTGGATGGCTTTGGAAAATTGTATTTAGAGTTTCAATGGTTTTAACTGTGTCAGTTATTCACAACAGGTGCATGCTTTTGCTCCTGTACCCCAAATGCTTCATAAACAAAGCCAACATGGAATTAATTAAGCATTAGATACAACAGCATATCCTTAAACTCAGACTACTCTAAAACATGCAGTATACATTACTGATTGTAGTTGGCCTTGGAAGAAAAAGGGATAAGGCACCTCAATTTTAGAGAAGCAACAGGCTAATTTGGATACCATTTATTAAAGGTGGTAAGTCACTACTAGAATTTTTCAAGTTTCAATACACTCAACTATTAAATATAAATTTATGAATTCATTTCCCAGTGTTATTATTATGTGCTGAAGAATCTTTATGTGTGATGTGTTCATGACTAATTGTAATAGTTTTAGGAAGAAAAAGATTAACAGCGTAATAAACCAGTTCTTGGTTGTTAAAGTAGTATATGCCTGAATGCTTGGATGAGAGTTATGAAAAGATGAGGGCTTAAGTCTCATTAAAAATCATTAAAGTATCTGTCTATATGAGCAGGTATGAATATTTTCTCATGAGAAAAAAGACAACCTTTCTTTAAGGTTTAAAGAAGCAATTATTGGAAACAATTGAAAAGTACAATTTAAATTTTCTGGCTGTTTCAGCATGTTCTTTACTAAGTTTTCATAAGGAGAACTGTGTGTATTAGAGTCAGTTTTACAGATGTGTAAGTAGTCACTAGTTGGCACTGTTTCTACCTTAATAGCCAAGCCAGTAGATGCAATTAAGCAGGCCTGTCTTCTTTTGCCTTCACAATTTAGTGCCGTTTTGCTAGCTCAGTAGTGAGCTGCACTGTGTTTGTGTTTGTAGTATGTAAAGGCTCTAGGTAGCTTGGTCAGAAGCTGCAGTGAGTCAGTGGTAGTTGGGGAGTTTAAATTTGCATCTCCTGGTTCCTTGATCTCTAGTAGTGATGAATAAATCTACAGGCAAAACTTTCAAAGGAAGTATAGCAAAATAAAATATTTTAGTACTATGTATTGGGTGCTTTATCTCTCACTTTCTTAACCCTTACCTTGCATATTAATACTGGTGAATAGATACAGACAGTTACAAGTAGCAGGGTAGTTTTTTAAGTTTCTTGTTTGCCCAAACAACTTCTTTAGCATACCTTGCAGTGGAAACTATAAATTGCAGGTTTTTTACTATAGTCTACGTTTGACTTTTAAGTAAGGGTTAAATTACAGTTAAATCGCTAGCTATAATCTGCCCTTTGAATATGTAATCTCAAACTAACCATGCTCTAGCTAAAGAATCCTATTTGGAATGTCCTTGTTCTGAGATGGATTCATTCTGAACATTTCCTTTCCTCCCTGAATAGGTAAAACTATGTAATGATTTGACAGGGTTTGATCTAGAACTAATAGAATGGCTATAGAATTGAAAGAATGAATGAATCAAATAGTCCTTTAGCATAGAGAAAGCAACACATTTACTCCAAGTAAATAGCTCTTGATGGAGTTATCAAATGTGATGTTTAATTTAGTTATTAGCAGGTTCTAGGTTGGTTGATAAAACCAAATTAATTCAGGTACTTTGAGGTAGATTTTGAAAAGTGTTCACGTGGTATGGATAGATACCTAGTTATACTATTTATGTGGTTGGATAGTCTGCACAAAAAGCAGGCTTGTTTTGCAGCATGGCGATGCTGTGTATGAATAATGCATGCTTTTTTTTTCAGATGAGGTTTTTGACAGAATTCAGATAATACATTTGGCATTGAGATTTCAGTTGTACAGTATACATATGAAGAATTTCATATTCTGAAATGACAGGTTTTTTCTTTACTTCATTAAAAAGAGGACATCTCTATCTTCACTTATCTTAAAACATTTTAATAACTGAGACTACCAATTATGTTTTATAGGATTTGATTTTTGTGCTAAGACCTTATCAAAAGCGTCTAATAAGGTGCTTTCTGCTGAGTTAATGATATGTTTTAGATGTCATTTCTTATACCTATCTTCAATAGACATATTCAGACAGTGTGATTGTAATAATCAAGGTTCAATCAAACCATACTCAGTATGACAAATATTGCATGAGATTGTAATGCAGGTATTCGTGCTCTTGATAAAGGGCTTAATTTGACTCCTAGCAGAGAGCCACTATTGATTTTTGTATCAGAATGCAAAATAGTTCTTATTTGTCATGTATGAGGGAAATTGCTTCTTAATTAAAACTAAATAAAATACTCACTCCAAGGTTTTATGCAGTAATACAAAAAGTATCATGTTGTGTTGAAAATGTGTTCTTACACAGGTCTGTAAAGGTTCAGTTAGCAATTATTCTTAACAAACTAAAACACTTCCTAAACAGCTGCTTAAAACATCATTTGTATCCTTCCTGGAATGTTTGTAGATTTACTGTACCCCAAAGCTCACTTCTTGTTTTTCCCTCCCCCAAAGCAAATGTCAAAGAAATATTTGAACAAACTATTATTCATCTTCAAATCCCGTTCAACTGGGACTGTGAGTTCATTCGACTGCATTTTGGACATAACAGGAAGAAGCATCTTAACTATTCAGAATTCAGTCAGTTTCTTCAGGTTAGTTATTAACCTTCTTCCAAAGTAGAATTGAAATTCATTTTCATTTCTAATAATACACTAATTGCATTATAAATTTGGATCTTATTCTGGTATTTCTCCATACCAGTTCTGTAAGCAGTATGTACTCATTGTGCCTTAACTTGAATACCATCCTATAAAAGAATGGAACTAAATACACTGTTTATGAAATTAACCGTTTTACTGATTGTTGTTTAACTGGATTGAGGGTCTGCTTTTTCTGTCATGGGAAATTAATAGTAAAATTAACCTCTGCCAGAGAAAGATAGCATCCTACATATAGCCAGTTGTTATTAACCATATAACCTCCCATATAAATGTTTTTGCTTCTTTAACATTTCTTTTAGTGTATTTATCCTAATACTTACCCTTTTTTTTTCTCTCACTGGCGTGATTGGGAGTTTGATCTTAAATGCAACCAACTTTGCAGGAGGCGTATCTCTTTCCTGAGATGTTGCTGAAGCACCCTTTAGGGACCAGGCTTTAAAGGATTTCATTTAGAACCAGACTTTGTACTAAGTCAAAAAGTTACAGTAAAAATATAAAATGAATTGAAGGTTATACTAGAAGTTAAAAGAAGGCATCAGTTATAAAGGAAGAAAGAAGAGTAGGGGAAACGTACATTATAATTCATGAGAAAGGAGTTTGCAGAATTGTTGGTAGTTGCACTGAATTCCATAAATTAAGTTTTCTGTCTAGTGGACCTGAAGAAAAATAGATTATGCACTTCCAGAGCTAGCCTTTGGTACAAAATAGTTTTGTCTTAAAAGTAGTGAGTGATAGATGTGCCTTAATACTATCTGTCATTATTGTCCAGCGTAAAAATAGATCATAGAATCATAGGACAGTTTGGGTTGGAAGAGACCTTTAAAGGTCATCTAGTGCAACCCTCTTGCAATGAGAGGGGGCATCTTCAACAAGATCAGGTTGCTCAGAGCCCTGTCCAACCTGACCTTAAATGTTTCCAGGGATGAAGCATCTTAACCTCTCTGGGCAACCTTTTCCAGTATTTTACCACCCTCACTGTAAATCTACCCTCTTTTCATTTAAAACCATTACCTCTTGTCCTACTAAGAAGTCTGTTCCCATCTTTCCTGTAAGTGCTGTTTCAGGACTGAAAGGTCTCAATAACATCTTCCCAAGAGCCTTCTCTTCTCCAGGCTGAACAAGCCCAGCTCTCTCAGCCTGTTTGCATAGGAGAGGTCCTCCAGCCCTCCAAGCTTTTGTGGCCCTCCTCCCGGACTCACTACAGCAGGTCCATGTCTTTCCTGTACTGACCTGTATCTGGATCTAGAGCAGATTCTAGAAAAACATGTCTTAACTAAATAGGATCTGAAGTCTGTATTGTAAATCGAGATACTGGAGTTTGGCACAGACTTTCAAGGCTGCAGTATAACATGGTGTTACTTTTAAGGAATAAACTGTGTTCTGCCTTTAGTACCATGTATTTTAAGTGATCCCAAGCACAAATTTGGAATACTGGGCAGAAAAAGCCGCATTGCTTTTTTGTGTGGAACCTAACCCAGAACAAAGTGATAAATACCTGTTTTGATTTTATGCTTATTGCTCCAAGATACTCTTATGTCGGATACCGTAACCTTTTACTGTCTTCATATATTAAAAACCTTCAGTAGGGAAGGGTAGTATGGGCTGTAGTAATATCAATATGTATACGAGTTGGATATTGTTGCCCCTCATTTTAGATTAGGTTATGTTTCTTGTTTCTTATTTATCTTGTGGGGTTTGGACTTGGATCATAGCAGGCTTGTTGCACTCGGATCTAGAAAACCTTGATCTTGAGGTTAGAGCAGTTGAGAACTTACTGTGAAGGTGATATAAGCTGGATAGTTAGACCTCTTCTTATTGTCTGTCAGTACATGGTTATTATTTTTGCTGCTTCTGGAAGTCTGAGTGGCAGCTGAATGTGCTTTATGTTTGCTTGAATAGAAGGAAACAACTTTTTCTGGACATAGAATTTACAACCATCATTGTTATCTTGAGGTTAGGTTACTGCAGTGTGCTTTATATGAGGGTTTTTACAGATTGTATAGGAGTTTTAAATTGCCTGAAATGAGTGGCCATTTATGACATTATGGGAAGTAGCTGTTGGGGGCACTCTAAATCTGTATTATATAATTTTCACTGTCCTCCTGTTTATTTTCAAGTACTTTTCAATGAGTTAGTTTATAATAGCCCAGTCATATTTCATCTTGGATGTGCAGGAGATCAGTTCACTTCAGGTCTTTTAAGATCAATATCAGATGTTTCCCTAACAGTTAAGTATTTAATAAAGGAATAGATAGCAGACAGGACATGGATATATGAAGTTTATTTCTCAGATCACTTAGAGAAAGTGTGTATTTCCTTACAGTTGAGCTGGGGCTTTTCCTTGACAGAGGAATGAATTTGTGGTTAAACTCAGTATGCAGACTTCTCATTTTACTTGAGCTGGCATTTAAGTTTAAACTGCAGTTGTGCTGTGGTCTACATGCATGGACATACTGAGGCATGCTATAAGAATCTGAAATAAGTGACATTTTTGTGAATACCTAAGTTATAGAGCTTGTTTCTAATCTGCTGTTTCTGAATGCTCATTCTAGGAGCTGCAGTTAGAACATGCAAGACAAGCCTTTGTATTGAAGGACAAAAATAAAAGTGGTATGATAACTGGGTTGGACTTCAATGACATCATGGTTACCCTTCGCTCACATATGCTTACTCCATTTGTGGAAGAAAATTTAGTTTCAGTAAGTGAAAATAAAAGTGCCTTGAATTCAGCATTTAATAGCTGTAATGTTTTAAGATGTTACTTCTTCTATGCCACTTTGTCTTCTCCTACCTGTTTGTCACTGCCTTGGTACTAGAGATTATCCCCATCATAACAGAGTGGACAGAGTGAAACATGGCAGCATTCCTTTGCTGCAGTAGTGGAAAAGTTTGGCAGTCTGGTTTACATGTTGGAAGCAGTTTGAGTTAGTCTACTAGACTTTTCACTAAAGCAAGGCAAACTGTACTTGGCACAGAAAGAACATTCATTTGGAACAAAAGCATCTGATTTTTATATTTGAATATATGACATCTCAAAAGGTGGAGACTAATTTCAGTTTTGTCTTTTTATGTATTCTTACATTCTTTTTCAGATCAGAATTCATAAAATCAGTGTGTAGATTCTAGAGGTAGAATGGTTACAGCTGAGATAGTTTGGCAAGATCTGTAGGTGAAGTAATGACGTAAAAGTTATAAACTAACAGTATATAGTATTAAAAGTATGTAAGAATGAAAGTTATAAAAATACAAAGGAATATCTTTTTATCTTACTATTTTCCCTATATATCTTGTGTTGTCTAACTAATAAAACATACCATCTTGTGTAAAATTTATAGTATCTACTAACTCTGGACTTGGAAATAGTCACTGCTGTATGTGATGCAATAAGTCAGTTAGTGCCTTTATCTGAAGTAGCATTTACATTCGTCTCTTAGAAATAGAATATAAGAAAAACAGTGGCACATTTAGTACATGTATCAGATACATTGAATAATTATCTACTTAAATGATTATTTCCTAATGTTTTTACCAAAAAAGTAGTATCCCGTCTAACAATTCTGCCCTAATGTTTTTTATCAAAAAATATCTTAAAATTGCAGGAATGGAAAGAGATCTTTAATTCTTTCCTTATTTTTAAAGGTAGCTGGTGGAACCGTTTCACATCAGGTCAGCTTCTCCTATTTCAATGCATTTAATGCCCTTTTGAATAACATGGATATTGTAAGGAAAATCTACAGTAATATAGCAGGTACAAGAAAAGATGTTGAAGTCACAAAAGGTAAAGTATGTTTCCTACATTTTATTAGTGTTTTAGTTCTGTCCAATTTGTAATCTGTTATTGCACACGAGTTAAGGCAAGTTGGAAGCTGCAGTAGTATGCAAGGTTAGGGCTACTATGAAAAGTGTTTAAAGAGTGATTTTTATCCTCACAGGTTAGTGATAATTTTTAGCAAGCTCATTGAGGAGAAGAATTGGCCTTGTTGGCCTTATTAGTTTGAATGATTAACTTAAAGTCAGTATGTTGTTGAGAATTTTACCACTCATTGAAAAATTCTGGAAAGGGATTCATGGTTGCTTAGAAATAGAAAGGGAATGTGATAGAATGGGTTAAGTTTGAAAATCCATCATCAGTAATCCCCATGTTGGTTTAGCTCTAGTTACTTTATTCACGATTAAATCTTTTTTAGAAAAATTGTAATTATTTATGAATTCTTAGTGCTTACTTGCCTGAGCGGTTTTATATATAGTTTATATCTGTTAGGACATAGGTAATCTGTGTGCATATGAAAAGTTGCCATATTTCAGTCTTGCTGCAGGCATGAGTAGATTGCTTTCGTAGTCATTTTATGACAGATTTTATCACTGATTTTATTACCTGTATGGGTGGGACCAGCCAAGTCTGTGTGTGGTGAAAAGCACGCCAAGTTTTTTTTTTGTTTTTTTTTTTCCCCCCATTCTTTGTTTGGGTTATGTTCATATGCTCTGCATACTTTTGTCCCTAAAGGAAAACATAAAATGCGTGTCCTCATCCTCCAAATTGTGCTAACAAATTGTCTAGCAATGTTTTTTGGTGCAGATGCATAAATACATCTTGCTTGGATTTGTGTTGTGGAAAAAAAAGGAAGTGTGTTTTTACAGCTCAGACTTGTTTACTGCAGCTTGCCAATTATGTCATGAACCTGTCATATAATTTGGCTAGATGAATACCTAAACTTGGGGTCATTCGGAGCTAGCAGAGCGAAAAATCTGGACGTGATGGCAATAGATGAGTCAGTTGCTCTTAAAACTGTGAATAATGGCCCATTATTCTGTTCTATTTCACAGAACTTTAGAAACAAGAGTCACAAATTGTGGGTGTCGTTTTATTAAGCTTGCTAATAAGAGGATTTTTTTGTTGACTTTGAATTCTTACCTTAAATCGCAGTTGTGGAGTCAGACTTGATCTGTGATGCAAAGGCCTGTGTCAAGATAAATGTTCTCCTAAAGATATTTTTTTCCCTTTGCATAATGGATTTTGCTTCTTGGAGAGAGATTTTGTTTTGATGGTATTGAAGTTATTTGTGAGCATTTAAAGAGGAAATTCGACAAATAATGCAATTACTTTATTTCTCTTTCTCTTTTGAATCCAGAGGAATTTACGCACTCTGCAATCCACTTCGCACAAATTACACCACTGGAAGTAGATATTCTCTACCAACTTGCTGATTTATACAGTGTTACTGGGTAACATAATTAATATTAGCATTTTACAGTTGTTTTCTGTGTGAAAGCTACTAATTTTCGCCTTAATTTTGCAAAGTTTTGTATTCTATTATATTTCATTATCAGTAATTTTTTCAATGTAAACTCACCTTGATGTGAGTTTTGTAAGTGAATTGTGTATATCAAACACAATTATTAGTTGTCATATTATAGGTAAACATTTAAAATAGCAAAATACATTACAGTAGTCCAAAAAGACTACAGTACGCTGGCATTATCAACTCTAAGTATTGTTGATGGTTTGCATGGGTTTTTAACACATGTGAAAACTTAGGTAGGAATAGATAGAAATAGGTTAATTTGTGTAGTATATCCCTTGTTCCTAGTTATAGGAATAATCCAGGCTCCCTTTATTTCCACTTGCAAGCTATGAGAATGCCCTTCTAATTCCAAGCATTTTTTATTGCAGTATAGCAGACTTCTTAGATGTGCATTCAGATGTGACAAGTGGGTTTTTTAAACTCAAGATGTATTCTGTGGGATGTGGCCAGGAATACAGTATTACTGGATTTGGTGTTTTATCTGCCGGTAATTTATTTTTCTCTGTCCTTTGTAAAGGCGCTTAACTATGGCAGATATAGAGAGAATAGCACCACTGGCAGAAGGTGCATTACCTTACAACTTGGCAGAACTCCAGAGGCAGGTAGGTAGAAAAAGAATAAAATTGTTAAAGTTAAGTGAATGTTTACGTATATTTACATGTGAAAAATAATAATAATACACTTTCGATAGGTTCTGAAACATGCTGTATGTATTGCTATTAGGATAGAAATCGGGCAGGCTATTGAGTATGCATCTAAACAAGGTACTAGATGTCATATTAGATTGGTCTGATGTGTGGCAGGGTAATCTAAAGCACAAATATAGGGTGGGTGGAGAATGGACTGGGGGCAGCCCTGAGAAGAAAGTCTTGGGGAGTTGGTTGACCTTGAAACAGTTACAAGCAGATTCAGAAAGGAGGGCATATATACATGGTGAATTACACGGTTGCATAATCAAAAAGTACATAGTCCAGTTGCACATAAGTGTTTATTACGCAAAACAAACCAAAAAATAGGATCTGATCTTAAAAGTTTCTGATGAGCAATCTTTTGTTTATTTTTGCTGTTAGAATTTAATGAGAAATTTTAATTCCACAGAGCTCTACCTTCTGGAGTAAGGTTTGCAAGCAAATACAATGATATTCATCTGAACCAGTGCATTTTGCTCCAAGGATGTCTCCACATCCCTTTTCCCCCTGTAATACACAAAGGGAAGATTCTTCAGATCTTGTATGAGCATATCCCATTGTTCTGACTAAATACATCTTTGTGTACTCGGTAGATAAATGTAATTTTTCATCCTGAAGGTTCTCACTTTCTTGCAATGTCTGAACTACTTCAGTTCTCTTTCAGTCTGTGTTAAGAGTTTATGGAGTGCCTATCAAAACATCCAAGGGTCCTGATTCCCAAGGGGGCATTATTCTGGTTTGGGCTGGGTTCTGCTCCCAGCTGCCCACACCTCGCTTGGTACACAGACAGCTGGGCTCCTTAGGAATCAATTGCTGAACAGCCACATCTTGCAGCTCAGCATTTATGGCAATCTGACACTGGTGATGAGTTGTGTTAAAATGCTGCTCCCGAATTGCAGTGATTCAGCAACTGATTCGCAAGTAGCTCAGCCATCTGGGCTGTTGGGGCAGGAGGACATGCAGCTGGCAGCAGTACCTTTGTCAACCATTCCAAGCTACACTGTTTCCCATAAAGTGAAGTTCAGATTCACTATCCTGCTGATGCCAGTGACAGATAGTACTGCTGCAGAGTGGCCTGAAGTAAAGTGGCAGTGTAGTGACAAAAGTCACCCATGCCTTATTAGCCACACGAGTGTCCTGTATTTTCCAGTGGATGAGGAGACCCAAGAGTCTATCTGAAAATAAAAGCTTGTGTTTATAAAACGTCCTATGCATTCCTAGGCATATTGCAGAGGTTCTTTTAAGCAGTTATATCCACTACAAAATCTAGGATATGTATTAATGACAGGAAAATCTTGAAAGTTCAACTGCTATGATTAAAAAATTGTCCTATATGGAATATAGCAAGTCTTCCATACATGGGACTGAGTGTATTTTGGTGACTGTTATTACAGGTGGATTTGATCATTCAGTTCTCTTTCAAACAAATTGGTCTGAAATGCAGTGTCTGCTCTGTTCTTAATATTATGCTCTATTGTCCTTAAGCTATTAGGCATGTAAGCCAATTAAATAAGTGTTCAAAACCTACTTAGTGGTAACAGTCTTCCTATGGAGTCCTGATGACAAGAATGATAGAATGGATTGACACAGAAATGTGTATACGTTTATCCAGACTAATGTGAAATAATTTTGATTAAGTTTTGTAATTACGTTCCTAACCACCAACTTTGGTTTTAATCAGTGTCTTCATATTCACCTTTATGACTAGACAAAATACTGACTTGTTTTATTTTACACTTCAGAACTACCTTTGTAACTTGGCATTGTTATAAAATGAGCTCACTGATAAAAGTTTTACTCATCAATAGAACAGAATATACTCTTTTCACACTCCTGGAGTAAAACATTATATTTTCATCCTAGTCTACATTCTGTGTTAAGAGAGGACAACAAAAAGCAAAGTAATTTAATTTTCTTTTATTTATAAGGAACAGTCTTTTAATAGACCTTTTCCTAAGTGAACCTTATATTACCTTATTTAACTGTATTAATAAAATGAAAGATATCCTTTCCTGGAAGAGGGAATATCATCTCAGAGAGGTCCAGCTGTCCCTGAAAAATAAAACCAAGTCTGTAATTATTTGTGTATGATTTTAAAATTCCTTCTTAAAGGAAGATCTACATTTTTACATAAAGTAATTCTATGTAGGTTTGCTGGAAATGGAAATTAGCTTGCTTTCAACCATGTTTACTCTGTTGTCAATTTTTTTTCATTGTGTGAGATTTTCTTAAAGCCTAGCAGCTGAATATCCTATGGGGATGACAGCTACAGTAATTTTCTGTTTATAAATATTCATGATTTGAAAGCTATAGCATTAATTACATTCATTTACATACCCATCTGAACACACAAGTAAACTGCAAACTTTGTGAACACTTATTTAATAATATAAAAGTGACATTTCCTTCAGAGTTTGATTTTTAACATCCAGTGATGTACTCAATAAGACTAACGTCTGAATATAATGATTCTGTGATTGAAGTTTGATGAGTACTGTGTGGAGCTTAGGAAAAGAATAACCTTAAAACAGCTAAAAAGAAGCAGGTGTGCTATAGCAGGAGAAAATTTTTGTGTAAGGAAGAACGACTTCTAAGCCTTTGTGGAGTATTACTATTGTGTGTGTCTTTTATTTACATCAGTCAAAAGGAATATCTCTGTATTTTAGGATTTTTTTGTGTGCATGTATGATTATTTTGATTTTATTGTGAACTTTTGTTTTTTAGATAGAAAAATTTGGTGTTTTGAGAATAGTGAGGACATTAATCAGATTTATTGTTTCTGATTGCTTGTAAAGGCAATACATTTGATTTAAGCTTTTATATGCTGGTCTGCATATGTGCACTTTATCATTTTGATGCTACCTAGAATTTCCCAGTTCTTCTCTGTTAAGATATGTTGCTGGGAGAGGAAAATGTCATGTGGAAGCAAATGATGTTAGCTGTATCTTTTTCTTCTGTAGAAAAACTGTATAAAATATAATTCATGTTTTTTATCACATGTAATGATCACAGGTAATGACAGGTAAAGATCACATTTTAGTCTTATGGGCTTTTGTTCTACATTTTGTACATACAGTGTAACATTATGTGATAAAGGCAGGTTTTTGCACATCCAGTGTAATACCAGTCCAAACAGAGTAGCTTACACTGAGGTACCTGCTGTCTTTCTGTGGATATTTCACTTTTCAGAGCTTCAGTAACTTGAACTTAACTTAGTTAAGTAGCCTTGCTGAGTTAACTGTGAAATGCACATGTGATAATCTTTGTGAAGAGTTCATAGTGTGCATCAGAGCAAAGCCTTCCATAGCAGTTTGTGGTCTGTATATATTCCAGCTGTGCAGTCAGGAGCGCATCTGCTAATGGCACAGGGTGCTTTTAAGAAAAACAGGTTTGTTCTGGGGAGATGGGCTTTCATATGGAATTTACAGTTAATATCTTGGCCAGTAATATAGCCTAGCCAAGTTATACTGCATAACAAATTCTTTTCTTGTCCCCTTGTTTGTGTTTGGAAGAAAATTTGGTCCATGATCTGTACTCTGTAGTGCAAGTTTGTGGACACTTACATCTTGCTTATCAGTTACCTTGTTTCTAATAACCATCTAATAATATGAGTCTCTGCAAATATTTTCTGTGCAGGCCTATATTTAATTAGAACACTATACATTTATAATAGTGTGTGTGATTGAAGTGAGGGAGGTCATCATTGTGCTTGTAAATTAGCAGCTGCCTGAAAAAGACTTGTGGAGAATACTTTGAGAAATAATTGGCTTTTTACTGTTTTGAAGACATCAAATGTCATGGTTTTGCTATGTATTAATGTATATGTAACCTTAAAATATATCCCATCTTGATAGATGCTGTCTGTGAAATACTGAATTCCTTTTGATGTAATGAGTTTTATTTGAGCCAAAAGGGGGAGATAGATGCCACACAAACTCAAAGGCAACAGAATAGAAAGTAGCAAAGTTGATTTGATTTTCTGTCTGCTTTTTCTTGACCATATTTGTTTTAGTTATACTAGGAATATATAAGGAAGAATATTTTCTGAAAGGAGTATTTGAAAAAAGTGCTTCATTTATTAGGTGTAATGGAAGTTATATAGTAACTATTTTTTTCCTCCATAACGTAAAGCTACCAATTTTTATCATATTCTTTCTGTACCATTATAAAAGCCCATTCACAAGCATCTTTGTTTTCCCCTGCAGATTTTCAAGTGCTTTATATGTCCTTTTTCCTTTTTTTTTTTTTGTTCCCTCTCACACAGCAATCTTTTGGAGAGTTTGGCAGGCCTATCTGGCTCCAGGTAGCAGAGTCAGCTTACAGGTTCACTTTGGGCTCAGTTGCTGGAGGTGAGTAATATTTCCGTTTTCAAGTTTAGGTTAGTTTAACACTGTCTTGCCAGAATACTCGGTCTCATCTACGATGCATTTCTTGGTTATAAACGTGAAGAATTGTAGGGTGGAGCTGCTTCTGGTTATGCCAGTCCCTTTCTTTCCTTAATGCTTCTGTTCTGGTATCTCTCCACAGTCCTCTGAAATTACACCAGTAATGAAATTCCTTACTAATAGTTCAGATTGTTTTACACACCTTGTTTTAAGTAACTGTAATTCATTCTCCTTGAGACTTTTTTCTAGACTTTTAGTATTGTCCTTTCTTTCTTCCAAAACATCAGAGATCTTACCAGCTTATGTATTCTTTGTATTTAAATAAATATTGTAGAAAATCATCATAAAAATAATGTACTACACCAACAATGGTAGTGCAGAAACAATACTTAAATGTTTCCTTACAGCTGTTGGTGCAACTGCGGTATATCCCATAGACCTGGTGAAAACTCGTATGCAGAATCAGCGCTCCACTGGTTCAGTCGTAGGAGAGTTGATGTATAAAAACAGTTTTGACTGCTTTAAAAAGGTTTTGCGTTTTGAAGGCTTTTTTGGTCTTTACAGAGGTAAGTGAATAAAAAATAAATTATACCAAGTCAGGGATTTTCTGCCTCTTTTCTAATACCTCAGCGCCTAGTTTCTTAGGGGAAAACCAGGAAACTTGATATCCTATACAATTTTGCTTCTGTTTCATAAAACTCAATATGTATCTTCCCTTGAGCACTGTTCATCGTAAGGAATTGCTGGAAAAACTGGACGTATTTTTGTTACTGATTTGCTCTGTGCTGCTTAGGTTGTTTAAAGTCTTAATTTCTGAGATGTGAGTGTTGTGGACATGATTGTTATCTCACAAATTGAGGACTGTAACTTTTGGCTGGTGATAAATATCAGAGGGAGATTAGCATGTGAGGAATAAAGGTCCATTTTACTGCAAATATTTTTTGTTAAGAGAAAAAAGACAGTAATTTTGTAATGTACCTGTCAACTGGATGCCAGTTCTTATGGCTCATATTTTTGCAGGTAGTAGGACTTGTTTTGTCCTGTGGACAAGAAATTGAATCCTGCTGTTGTATTATGTTGCTCTATTTTACTTTAAAATATCAACAGTGGAACTCATAAAAGTTGTGATAGAAAGAAAAAAAAACAAACTAAAAACCCCTCCTCTAAAATACAGGTTAAGAATTCAGAGCAACTTTAATCAGTTTTATCAGTTAGACTGAAAGATATATCTTGTTTTAGCTTAGAAGATTCTGAAGGCTTTTTCTCACATCAGTTTTTTCTCTATTTTTAATTGTCATTTCACCTAAATGATGATGTGTGCAGTTATCATAAGGATCAGTAAAGTATTTATAAATTGGCACATGTTTGTTTTTTAGTTGGAGAAAGTGACTTTTGTGATGGTCACAGCCTTTTTTTCTGCTTTGCAATGTGTTCTGTCAATGAAGACACTGAACAATGTCCTTTAAGAACAATATCTGGGAGGTTTTTGCATGTGAAAGTGTGTATTCTGGCTAAAGAATTCTTTGTAATCTTGCAGGATTTTGCTATGCAAGTGAGTAGAGGAGGAATATGTCAGTGAAAATGTTAATGAAATGGCTGTAATCTCCATAAATAACGTCTTACTGGTGAATTGTTTTTCTTTTTTGTTGCTAAATCTTTTGCAACAGCAAATACTCCATAAATTACATTTATGAGACTATTTCTAGAGTGCTGTTCTATGGTACTGTTTTCTTTCTCTTCCCCCCAACCACATGGTTTTGCACGGCAGCTTCTAAAACTGATCATTTGTTATTTTTATTTTCTAACCTTTCACAAACACTTTGAAATCAAGGATGATTCCATTAATGAGTTGGAACCAGTGCTTTACACTTGAGAAAAAATGTGCTTGTTTGAGAGCATGTCAGTTTGTTAAACTATTTAATAGTCTGTTTAATAATAGTCTTTAGGATTGTTTAATGTAAGAAGTTTCTTTGAAAATACTACAGTTAATGGTCAGCATGTTACATCTTGGACTGATACAATTATATGGTCTGTGGAGTATATTAAAGTAATCAACAGAATTATTTTTAGAGTTGGCTAAAGTCCTTCACTCAACGATGCAGGTTCTCTGGCACACCAAATATGTGTGTCCAATGAGTTCAGCTGCCTAGAAGGGGGGATTGTCTTGTGTTTTGTCTGGTAGTTTTGGGTTTTTAAAGTGTAGGCACTGCAGAGCTGGATTTTCTTTTCATGGTAGATCGAAGATTCAGGTTGGGAGGGCAGCATTTCTTTTGTTATTGTCAACCTTTCTTTGTATTTAATAACTGCCTTTCCTCAGCATAGTAAGTCTGTAAATCACATAGAAAGTATTATGTTGGAAGAAAACACTACGCTACATATATTAACTGCTGCTCTTTCTATTTAGGTACCTTTGCTCTGAGCTTCCTTTTAAGGAAGTAGTATAAAAATTCTGCAGGCTGAGTACTTTTGGTAATTTTGAACATTTAAAAATGAATTTTTAGTTATTATTCTTTTCACTTAAAGGGTAGTGGAAAGCTGCATTGTATGAAAATAACAGTTTTATTCCTGTTATCTCTGATATAATTAGTGGGGGATTTTTGTTAGGTAACTGGCAAACACTTCTGAAAAACTGATATTCTATAACCATGGAATAACATTAGGAAGTGACCACTTCTTAGAAAAATAAGCCCTTTAAGGTTTATGACCTATCAATATGCCAAAAGGATTATGGCAAAAATATATTTAAAAATAAAAGATGCTGTTATGATCTTGTATGTTAGGAAGTTAAGACTGCCATCTACTGATTTTTTTCTTAAACCTATTAGTTCCTAGAAAAGTGTATGTGCAGTGTATGGAAGTTCATTTTGGTAGTAGCTATTTTTCAAGAACAAGGTCCTTTTCATGATAGGTTTCTCTTCATTAAGGCTTTCTCTGGGTGAGATAAAAAATACTTAACAGTAATAGGGTTTAAAGAAGTTCCTGCTACCATGTTGGACTGAACAAAAGAAAATCCTTTTCATGCTTAGTTGACTGGAGCCTTCAGAAAACTCAGGTCAGTGAATCAAGTAAAAGTGAGTTGATCATTTATCAGTCATGTATGTCTCACAATTACTCTCCTATTTTAAACAGTGATTGTAAGGTTTAGGGGAAAATGATACTAAGTTGCTAAAAAAGTCAAATGAATTCTTATGTAATAGACATATCTAAGGTGTATGTTCAGTCCTTACCTTTTTTTACTTCTGTACAGCAACAGCATTAGGCTTGACTTGGTTGTGGAAGGCAGATCTGGTCGCCCTTTTTATTACCATGTTCAACAGAAATCTTAACATAAAATTGGGTTGGTATGAATATGTAGTGCTCTAGCAGCATCACACACTTAAATGACATCCACCTCAAAGGATATCCCATGTGCAGAAAGGCATTTCTGTAGCGCTCTTATAAAATGCTAGTTTCTCTATTAGGAAGATAATGTTGCCTTATGATGTCTTTGTTTCTATAGGCTTGTTACCACAGCTGATAGGTGTTGCTCCAGAAAAGGCTATTAAGCTAACTGTACGTACCTTTTTTTTTTCTGGCATCCTTTTGTTTGTTAACATAACAGGATTTATTTCCTAAAATGTGTGAAAGATGACCACTTACAAGCACTCTAATACATATGGTTGCAGATGTACTTGATGTCTCTTAGTAAGGAGGAAAAATAACTTAAAATTGTGTGTAATGTATTGTATCGTTACTAGGTTAATGACTTTGTCCGAGACAAATTTACTAAGAAAGATGGTTCCATTCCACTTCCTGCAGAGGTCCTTGCTGGAGGCTGTGTAAGTATCCATCCTGTATTCCCAGGGAAAAATTATTCTTGTTTTCTGTTTGGAAATATTTGCATACTTATGAGTTGAGTTCCCTTGGAATTATGTCCTTCATCAACTTCTTTTGGCCCAGTTTCTTTTTCAGTTTCAGCAATGGTTTTATTCACAAAAGGCTAAAGAGAGGGGACCTTTTCTCCCTGTCCATACTTTTGCCTGGGTTGTTGTTCATGGTTAGTTTGGAAAGATATAATCCTTTGAGAAAGGATTATAGAGATGATGTTTGATTTTCCTTCAGGGCTAGAACAATGTAGAAGATCTATTTCTTGCTGAAGATTTTAAGAAGGAAAAGAAATACACTCTTCATCTTGCTATATGCGAATTTTTTTATTAGCAAAAATGTGGAAAACCAGAATGATGTAGTCTTGCTTTTCAGGTAACAGGTATGAGCAAATTTTCTGTTTAAATGACTTTGTATAAAATCCAGCCATGTTACTCCAGAAGCGAACTACATCCATCATCTAAATACAGCTCAAAACCAAATTGTGTTTTTGTTGAGATTGAGGGCTGTAATTCAATGGGTCTCTTAACAATCTGTAAGTGGTTTGAATTGATAGTGATGATAGATTTCTTTTGGTTTTGCACATTGGCTGATTTCATTTGTGGGATTCCCCAACAGTTGTTAACCCTATAAAATGTTTAAGGCTCGAGTTAGGTTTCTTTTGTAGCAGAGAACACTAATAACTTCCAGTTGAGTAGGCTGACAGGCTGGTATAAAACCTCCTCTGCTTACAAAAAAACCGGGGGCAGAAAGGTTGTTGACCTCTGCAAACTTTTAATTCAAAGAAGCAGCCCTGAAGGGAGGCTGCGTATAGTTCTGCCTGATTGAATTTGGCAGCCTAGTACATGCTTGAGTCTTCACCTGTCAGTGTATAAAGTTTATTTTCTGAGAAATGTGAGAAAGCAGCTGTGATGTATAGCTAGCAGAAGACGAAACTTTTTCTGGAAAGCTCAATAACACAAAAGGACATACAAAGCATTTGTAACTGAAGTGAATATAATTCATTAGTGTTTTTCTCGGTGCTTAAATTCATAATTAAAATCAAGCATCTGATAATCAGTTTTATTATGTTCTTTTTTACTGAAATATATTATTTGGTTGGGGTGAGGCTACCTTTCTTCATTATTTCTGTATTCCTTCTCTCTCTGTTAATACAAAAGGATGGGTTACTGTGGGACTGTCTGGATTTCATATATTTTTAAATTATTTTCAGTACCTGGATGTGGGTAACAGGTTTTTTTTTGGCTTTTCTTTATTGTTTAACACTTAAATATTTTGCTAATAGAATCATAGAACCATAGAATAGTTAGGGTTGGAAGGGACCTTAAGATCATCAAGTTCCAACCCCCTACCATGGGCAGGGACACCTCACACTAAACCATGTCACCCAAGGCTCTGTCCAACCCAGCCTTGAACACCGCCAGTGATGGAGTATTCACAACTTCCCTGGGCAACCCATTCCAGTGCCTCACCACCCCCATGGTAAAGAAATTCTTCCTTATATCCAATCTAAACTTCCCCTGTTTAAGTTTTAACCCGTTACCCCTTGTCCTATCACTACAGTCCTTAATGAAGAGTCCCTCCGCAGCATCTCTATAGCCCCCCTTCAGATACTGGAAGGCTGCTATGAGGTCTTCATGCAGTCTTCTCCAGGCTGAACAGCCCCAAGTTTCTCAGCCTGTCTTCATACAGGGGGTGCTCCAGTCCCCTGATCATCCTTGTGGCCCTCCTCTGGACTTGTTCCAACAGTTCCATGTCCTTTTTATGTTGAGGACACCGGAACTGTACACAAAACTCCAAGTGAAGTCTCACTTGGAGACCAATAGTTCACTACTAATATAGGCTAAATTCAAAACATGCTTTTAACCTTGTCATAAAATCAGAAGGAACAACATTATGCCCTTATATAGTTCTCAGATGTACTTATTATCTCTCTCATTTGCCTGTGTTTAGTGCTGAACCTTTTCCTGTTTAACAGGAATAATGCACTTTTTCAACATTTCTGGTTTGGAACTGATAGTGGATGAGCAAAATGAGCGAGCCGTATTTTCAGCCCCTTTATAGAGATTACAGGAGAAGCCTTCCTGACCTTTGAAGGCCCACCCTCTTGTGAGCTGTACAAAAGCACATTGTGCATGCTACAGTCCTCGACAACGAGTCAAAAAAATCCTTGTGAGGAAATGGAGACAGCTTGGGCAAGGCTCCAGCAGACCTAGCAGATTCTCCTCTCTGGCTGGCAGTGCCATATCAAAGCTAATGTATGGTGTTACAGTCTTTCAAGACCCACACGTGAGAACAAGTGAATCCTCTGATAGTAGTGATTTAAGAGAACCTGTGTAGTCTGTTCATTATCTCAGCTCTGGAGTGTCTGTAAAAAGTGCTACTCCGTCCAGCAAAGAGGCTACCCATAGGCACGTGCTTCCTTCAGAAACGGTAACTCCAAGTGACTGGATCTCTTGGGCCAAAATCTTACTTGTCAGGCTCCAATTATTATCATCTCCTATAAGGTTATGGAATAAACTCCCATTCCCACTAAGAGGAAATGTCTTAATTCTTGTAGCTGTTAACAAAGATGCTGCCCATGCAGTGGCCTGTTTACATGGTCAGCTGCCTGTCTGTTGTGTTTCCTTCCTTACTGCAGGGTAGGGACCTCCCGCAAGTAGCCTGTGCCCTGTGCTCCTTGAAACCTACCTGCTAGCCGCTGGGCAATGTAAATGTCATTGGGAAGTGAAGGGTCTGCTCTGTCAGAGCCCAGATATTCCCAGCTGCTCTCAAGCTGTAGCTATATTTGAGCACTGCAGAACAGCTATGCGGGGCAGCTCAGTTACAGTGGATCAGGTCATACCTGTCAATGAAAGGACTCTGATCCCTGGTGGATGAAACTGATATCCCGTCTTCCTACCTTCCTGAGAGTATGCTGGTTTGTTAATCATCAACAGCGCTATCCACACTTATGCATGTTCAGGGCAAGCAATTTCTGTCCCTACTGTTACTGTAATTAATTGAATTACATTTCATTGTAATTCAGTCATTAGCCTGCATTCCTGCCTTTGGAGTTTTCAGCTATCAGTATCTTTGAGTTGCAGGGAGATTGAGGCTTTGCTAATAATTTCCTGTATCCTGACAGTGGCTGGGGAAGCAGGGAGTGCATACCTGATACAGACAGTGCTTCTTAAAGGAGCTTACATGCATAACACATGTGACTGCATCATGAAGGGCAGGGTGCTGTAGGGCAACTCTGTCCTCAGTTGGGAAGCAGTGTTGAAGTAGACATCTAATGTTACATAAATGATTCATAAATACTGTTACAGTAGGTAAAGATGCTGTGATTTTTAAGCTGTAATTTCTCTGAGTTACATGGGAAGAAATGGACTCTTCCCATCATTCAGTGTGCATGGTGCTTAGCGTTTTGAATGGATGAATCTTGTTTGATCAAAAGACATTTCCGATTTGTGCTACAGGAAGGAAGCAGATGTGGAGTGCCAGGCAGAAAAGGTCTAAGAACCCTTCTTGGGGGTGTAAACAGTGCATCTGTTGATGATTAGGGATTGGGAGGAGTGTGTGTACATGTCTGCACATGCATACCCATCAAGGTCCAAATTTACTATTGATTTTAATACTTTTACATATTTAAACATTAAATGTAACATTTAGTCTAAATATTTTGGTCATACTTGTAAAAAGAATTTTCATATGTATTTATACATATATATACACATACATGCAAACATGTTAACTTATCAGGCAAATAGGAATGTGTCAAATATTTATTTTTGAAAAAATAAAATGTCACTGGTTTATTTAACAAACATAAAATACAGAATTATAGCTGTCAGGCTACTTTGAAATCTTGAAGATGCTACTTCTTTTAATATACTTTAAACAGATAAAATTAGAAGCAGAATTAAACTTTACTGCTTTATCCTGATCTCTGTTGTGGACATTTAAAGTTAGGGATAAAATTACTGTTTAGTAAGAGACATTAAGCTTAGTGTAGGTGCGTGAACAATGACAGCTTTGCTATGAGAAAGAAGTGCAAGTTCTTTTGATGTTTTTAAACCAGACTTTTTAAAGTAACACCTTGTTTTAGCTGCTTGCAAGGGACATAGTTGTGGTCCAGGATGTGGTGGTTTCAAAAAGGAAGGAAGGAAGGGCCTGAAATAGGCCTCTCCCCCTTTGTAGCATATGCCTTTCGGGTGGAATTGGAAAGGGCAAGAGGTCTCATGTTGCAGGGTCATTTGTGTATTTCCTTCAGCCTTTGGCATGTCATGGGGCGTTTGCTGTGGGATCTCAAACTACATCTTTTCTCACATAACCTTTGCTGTCAGATTTAGTTCCTTTATTTGCTCCTTGTGGAGTTATTTTACATGACATTAAGGTTAAGTAGACATTTTTATTACTGGTATTTTTTTATGTGTATGAATAACCTCCATTCAGAAACAAATTTGTCAACCTCTTTAAAAGTGTCTGTTGTAATTTATGTGTGAAGAGAGGTTTTGGGGGGGTGTGGGGTGTGTGTGTGGGAATCTAGATTTAGTGCACCTTCTCCAAAAGAAGTTCAAGGACTGCAATGTATACTTCTGTGTGTATATATATGTGCACGTGTATTTAACATACATAGCTGACAGCTGGAGTAAAATACTTTGAAAAAGAATGATGATGATTGCCAGTGATTGCACAGAAGCATGGAGAATTGCATTGCAACCCTCCATGCTGCCAGTTCATTTTTATTTGGAGATCCTTTGTGTCATTCTGCTCTGCATCCTCTTCTGGGGAGTGCTGTTCCTCTACTCCCCAGGCAACACTTGCCCCTGCCTCACCCATTCTGTGTCAGATAGATAGGCAATCCTTTACTTAAAAAACACACAAATGAAAAATAAGTCACATTATTTTTTTTTTCTAAGTACACAATGAAAAAGTGAGGGTTTTTTGTGTTACATAGAATCATAGAATA